TCCTTACCTTACTCCTAAAAGTAGCTCCTCTCTCCACTTTTTCAGAACACTGATAACTTCCGCTCATCCGCTGCTAACAATGACTTTCTTCCTTGCTCATATTCTCGAATTAGGTTGTCATTGTTCTTTCTTTTCTGTCCTTTTTATTTCTTCAAGCAAAGTATATAATATAGCTTAGATTTCCTCCTTATTCATATTTTGTTGCATGTGTTTTTTGTCTTTATATCTATCTATATCTATCTATCTATCTATCTATCTATCTATCTATATTATATTATATTATATTATATTATTATTATTATTATTATTATAAAAGCACGAATATTTTATGTTAAATGTTGAACGACTAAAATATCCCTGAAATATTGACCGACTGTTTGCCCTTTCAAAATTAAATAATTCATTCAAATAACTAACTTGATATCGGGTAAATGTAATATTAGAATTTTTGTATAACCTAAAATTTGAATTCTACAAATACTCTTCCGTCTGTAGGAATCTAAACTTGAATAGGAATGGGTTGCTTGCTCATAGAATTCAGTTTGAGTAGGAACTATTACGTTCTTTATATACTCCTAACTTTTTGGTACGATGTGTGTAATGAAAATTGCAGGTATGAACTTTAGCCAAACAATGAATATTTAATACATATATTCTTCTAAATTTTCTTTTATTTTCCATTAGAGTAACTTCTGTAGAGATTTATGTAATACTTTTTGGTTGTTCATTTATTTGATTTCATATGATAAGTAGTATTTGCTAATATATCTTGTATATATGGATATTTGTAGCTGGTGATAAAACTATATATGTCGTGCATTCCTTAGACTTTTTCTTAAGTGTGTCTTATAGCTGTGTTCCATTCGCTCCAGATGAAATATTGAATCTTAATACTTATTTGGACTAAATCAACTTTTAATGTCTAAATATCTTATCCAAGTTCTAAAAAATTTACTGATCACTTATACTTACAACATTATTTGTTTGAGACAAAATATATAAAGTCTTTTCAAGCTAATCATTCAGATATGATATATAATTGATCACGGGAAAAAATTAATCAAGGGAGCATATGGAGAGAAGAATTTGTTGAGACAAAATATATAATCTTTTTGCGTACGAAATAATAGATCATAGTGCTTTGCTTGAGGACTTGACTTACATTGTACGATCACCTTCCCTTTTTATTGGATCTTAGATTTTGGATTGGCTTGAGATTTGGAGACTTGAGGCACCACAGACAATCCTTTTCGTTAATTTTTAGTTCAATGTTGACGTTTATGTACTTTTTGTTATTGAGGTTTGTTGTCGTGTTTAGGAGTTTTTATCAAACTTTTCTACAACTTTTAAATATTATTTCTGGTGATTTTATGATTAAATGATTTATCTATTGAGAAGTCAATGGCTGGAACGAGTGGTGCGTGGGCTAAACTTGTCACATTTTTGTATTGGGTGATACCCTTTTTTGCTTGAGCCCGACCGGGTTGGGTCCGGTCCGGGGCAAGTCGGGGCCATCGAACCCGACCTGGATGCAAGGTAGAACGACGGCCACGTCAACAACCGAGGTCGAGTCATTTCGAGACCGTTGCAGAGCTCGATATGAGTCACCACCGGATGGAGAAACACACAAGGTCGGAAGCCGGACTCGTAACGGATAACCAAGCGTCGCCGGATATCTCGCCCAAACGTGATTTTCTCAACCACTTCAGGCCATTAAGGCGTAATTACAGGGATCCACGATGTAATTAATTTACCTACCTTATTTTTACCCTTAATCAGAATGTATAAAAGGGGAGAAGACCCCATAAAGAGGGGATCGGAAACCATTACACTACAGTACCATCTCTCTCAATTCTTGTACGCTATCAAGCACAATTGTTCTAAGCAATATTATATTCTGCGATTATTTACTTTAACAGCAATTGTTGAGTCTTTATCTTTTATTTTCCTCAATCCAAACCTTTTGTATCTTTTAGTTCACGGATCCTTAAAACCCCATATAAATTCAATTGTTATCCGGATTCCAGGGTAAACAGTTTGGCGCCCACCGTGGGCTAAGGGATATTAGTGAGCTCTTTGATAC